ATTAGCACTACGCACTACCTTTGAGAGGTGTGATAAAGACAGCTTTTAACAATTCACTGTATAAGTGCAAAATCAAAACTTTTCTTCAAGTAACTGCGGTTAGTCGCTATTTGGCTGTAAGAAATTACAAAAAAAAACTAGCATATCTCAGCCAAAAAAACTAATAAGACAGGTATGGGATTCTAGAATAGGATATATAGAGACATATATACAGGATACGAAGTGGGCACAAAAAGTTCAGGATGAAAGGATGGAAGGATGAATGCAAATGTGGAATAAGGACGTTAGATTGAAGAACAGATACATAAATTGATAGATGGATCTGAGCGAATCGGCCCGCTTGGGCTTTCCTGTTTAAGTGCGCCTGGTACACCAAGCAGAGGCGTTAGCAGCCTATTCAATAAAAGAAAGATGAGACAGAGACAGACACCAACCAGCATGCTGAGCCTAATACAGAAATGTGCAGAGACAGACGTATTTCTTCATAAGCTGTACGAGCTGGGAGCCAGGCGAAAAGGATGGAATGAGTCAACGCAACAGCATAGATACCAGGTGGTGCGAAATAGAGAGAAGGAAGCACGGGAGGAAAGAACAAGCAGCCAAGTCCGAGGCGAAATAGAATTTGGTGGGTCTGAAGCCTGCGTGACTAAGACGAATGGTTAGGATAACAAGAGGGAGGGCCGTGTGCACACAATAACACACATCAGAACAGACACAAAAACATAAAGTTAAATAATCTCGGGCAGGTCACAAGGGTGCAACATGCGAGGGAGCGAACGAGAGAATCGGCTGACTCACTTCTGTATCAAACGAAAAAGGAAGTGGTTAAGGCTTGCGTAATGGCCAACGCACGAAAGGCGAGGCAAGTAAGAATGAGAGTCAGAGCGAAGGGTAGCCAATCAACCTGCCTCAGTCGCATAATGCAGAGATTGCAATGAATCCACCAATTGATGTCGAAGGCCATGCCTAATCTTATCAATGTTCTCCATCGGGAGGTACGCTCAGCCCGGGGTTTATTGAAACAATGGGAATTTATAAGTCACCCAGGATGGAAGTGTTTGTCTCGGGGCTGCAGGTCAATCAGGTTAGGCCAAAACTTGGATAAAGCGTAGGTTCGCCTAAGTTATTAAAGTAAAACGAGTTCCGCCCTGCCAATTCTGCGAACAAATATGATGAAAAGTCGGGCTTCGAAGACTCTCATAACAGAGCTTTTGTACAACATAAAAATATAAGTGGGTGGGTTTACTAGGTTAGATTCATCAAAGAAGTAGACGAGTTTGCGTCGAAGCTGCGATTGCTGATTAGGACATAGCAGTCGGCAGTGCGTTATCATACCTCCAGGATGTATTGGTGTTAACAAAGCGAAAAACAATTATCTGACAAAACTCCATGTAAAAACGTACGCCAAGCATAGGGTATGAGACTAGTAGCTAGGCCAGTCAAAACAAGGAAACTTATGCACAGCTAAGGATAATTAAGTCAAGTGAGCTTAGCCTAAGCGATCCAAATACAAGTCATTAATATTTCGGAGAGTGATACATGCTATAGCTTGTCTCATTTCAAGCTTTTGTTAATTTAATTTAGCCCGATTTCTGAATTCTAGTAGAACCCCCGGAGCTGCAGTGGGCTTCGCAAGCTATGCGAAAGTTAACACTATACAGGCTAGTTATCGATCAGAGATCGTGACAGAGATTGCTTATTTACGAATTGCGATTTCGCAACTGCCAACCACATAACTACAAACATATAAGAGTACTTAAATAACATTATCTTAGACAAGCGTATCTCGATCTTGAACAGTCAAGCACATTCGGGAAAATCCTTAGGAATTTAAGCCCACCGGAAGGTAAAAAGATATACTTTTTCAGCCCATGGTCAGATTTTTTGTCGGGACGACCATTTCACAATGCCTGGCCTCTCAATGCATGTGGTGATTGTGCGACGTCAGGAAGCCTGACTGTCACCACTCCACGTATCCTTAGGCTAGCACAGTGTATTTACTTAATGCTAACCGAAACTTTTTAAGTTAGACGTGGACCGAAATCTGCAAATTTCTATAGTCAGAGCCAATCCCAGATTCCCTTACCAACATTTCGATCTAGTCAGAAAAAAATATCTTTGCAAGTGTGGCAAGATGAATAGTCATCGAAACATGGAAAAATGGTGCTTGTAGTAGAATATTTATTATAATGCCATTGCTATTACATGATATAAAATGGATGCTATAATAACGATATATATAAGTGATATTCACGGTGTACTTGAATGACGAAATGACCACGAAACTTTCTTTAATGTTGACCTACAGCCTTCATTCTCAATTCAAATCCTAGCTTAATGCATTAAAGAATTATGTTCACGATCTTTAACACAACGTCTAAGAATTAATCCTTAAAACCCCACTTCCCACTGCAAGTAAAGTCAAAATCTTTAATTAATTCAAGGTATGAAGACCAAGATGGTGTGGCCTAATGTCTGGTCGCAAAGTCCTTAAGTTGTATAAAAGTTGTTTGACCTTATTTTCGCAACTTGATCATATTGGGAGAAAAACCTAAAGTAACTCAGTTAGTCCGGAGTCCATAGCATGCATGATAATTTCCAGAGTCGAACTGTGGACGTGTTACATTCTACGACGTTTCGCCGGCATCGTCAGTGAGCTTTGCCAGTCTTAGCAACACACTACAACTAGTCAAAGAGACAAGTGAGGCCGATCCTTTCACCAATTGTCTGCTAAACAATTAAGTTATCCCTATTGCCCTAGGCTATTCACCAATCCTATATCTTAGTATGAGCTCTTCATCAACACAATTTCTTATTTAAATGTGATATGATGTGTCCTTTTTAGCGGATTTTATGAGAACTCTCCAAACTCCACGCTAGCTTTCACAACTTTCTCCCCACCATCCTCTTCCCATAGATCTTATCAATTTCGCCCTCTTGCCCTGTAGGATCCGCCTCATACCTTCCTGTTTCAGCTATTTCATTCGAACCCTGCCACCTCTTCTGTGCTACTCGATGCATCATGGATTATGTGTATGATCAAACACGTCTACGGCTAGCCAACTAGCGCCAAGTCTATGACTTCCTATGCCCTAGTCTCTTAAGCGCTAGCCAACAAATGTTGTGGTTCTACTTGTCTTGAATAGGTTCAACATAGAACAACAATATTTAGGAGTTGGCAAACAAGAGACTAGAGCATAGGGAGTCATAGACTTGGCACTATTGCTAGAAGCACGACAGATGCGATGGAGAATAGAGCTAGTTGGATAACAGATGTGTTTAAGCATAGATGTGGTCCATGAAGCAAAGGTCCATGAGAATTACTCGGGATTTTTTTGCCTCAAGTTAGTCTCCCATTCAGCTTAAGAATCCTTATTTTTAGCAGCCTACTCAGCATAGCGAGAGTATGCGTGCGAGCAAAGGCTCAAGTGTGGAAAATAATGCCTCGAGTAGAACAGATAGGGTGACGAGATAAAATATCTGAAACAGGAAGGTAGCAGGCGGATCCTAAGGGGCAAGAGACTCTGATAAGACCTATGAGAAGAGAGCTGCGGGGTTAAGGTTTGAGAAAGCCAACATGGAGTTTGGAGAGTTCTCATGAAATCCGCTAAAAAGGGCACACCATGCCACATTTAAATAAAAAATGGTGATGGTGAAGGAGTAATACGAGGATATAGGATTGATGAATAGCCCAGGGCAGGAGAGTTACCACAATGTTTAACAAACAATTGATCAATGGGTCGACTTCACATGTCTCCTTGACTAATTGTAGCGTGGCTCTAAGACTGGCAAGACTCGCTGATGATGCCGGAAATTATCATGCATACTATGGACTCTGGACCACGTGCGTTTCTCTAGGTCTTCCTCCCAAAATGACCAAGTCCCGAAAACAATGTCAGACAACTATCTAAATCTTTACATTTACTGGAATTAGCCCATTAAATAAATAGATATTAATTTCATATTTAAGTAAGCTTAGAGAAAAAATAAGAAGCTCAACGAGCAAAGAAGAATGTGGTAAAATGAATTTCAAGAAAATAATTTAAAAGGCTAAGGATCTTAATTCGTAAATACATAGGCTTTAAAGACTACCAGTAAATCATATATATGAATTGTGTTCACTTTATTTCGCTTAGCGTGATAAAGGATTGGTAGTTGATTTTTCCTACAGTGATATGAGTAGAGTCGATGTATTCCATTGAATTTCACAAAGCTTTGCTTTCCCAAAGGGTATTCTCATCCAGGGTGGACTGAAGTTTCGACCTCGCATAGGCTATATCAAAAGCCCCAAGCGGAAGTTGAACCATGACCTTGCAGCGTACAAGCTCGACACGTTAATCATTTACGAAAAAAGTAATTTCGTTGATTACTAGAGCAAATATGAGTCTGCTTCATCAAAAATCCCATCGGAGGTTATATGGAAAATGCCTGGCATTCCTTGAAATTCACATCTACCCTGTGAACCAAGGGCACTCGTGGCAATGTGGCCTAGAAGTTAACGTATCGAGCTTACACAGTGCACTTTCCTCGTTCGACTCCTGCTTAAGGTGTTGATAAAACCTATGCGATGTCGAAACTGCAGTCCACCCTGGATGAGAACACCTTTAGGGAAAGCAAGGCTATTTGCATTCAATGGAATACATCAGCTCTGCTCCGATAATTGTGGGAAAAATCAACTACCAGTACCTTAAACGAAATAGAGTGGACACAACTTATAAGGATCTGAATGTTTCGTTTATAAGTAGGTTTTCGAGATTTCACTTCATATGACGTTCTGAAATCAAAGACAAACTAAATAGCTTTGATGCCTATTATTTAGGTCCATATAAGATATACAATATATCTTCTGGAAGGACTATGAGTTGGAGAAATTTGAAAACGGATAGATTTGGTTGTAATATTCCAGATCTATCCGATACTCTCTTAATTTACCCCAGGAAAATGCTTGAAAGCCAGAGCTCCAAAGTTAAACTCGACTGTCGAGTTAAGCAGTGAGGCAGCTGGGAAGAAGCAGGAATTCTGCAGCATTTGTGGAGGCAGAGTATAGCCGATGCCAAATTCGACTCCATTCCGAGTCCATTTCACTGTTCCCTCGATTGTATCCAAAAGGCAACCAATTACATCGGACTTGAAAAAGGCCTATAAGGAATGATGGAGAGAATGAGGTAAAAAAAGAAAGAAAATGGAATGCGACTCAGTATAAAGGAAAATAATAAATGGTAGACAGTAAACAAAAAAAATGGTCAGATCATATCTAGTGTTCACTTTCTCTCTGCGTAATATAACAGCTAGAGGTACGAAAATGCAGACTGGGCGGATACTGTCGCCAAGAATAATGGAAGGGAGACAAAAGAAGAAAAAGAGGCTTTGGAAAAATCCTCGTTATATCATCACCCCAAATAAGATTCAAGCAGAATCAAGTATGTCGATTGGCAACATGCTGCTACTGCGTCACGAGTGAAAAGGGGTTTGATTTGCCCTGAAAATCAGATCTGCCGTGGCAGTATTAACTTTTATTTCGTCGGGGATGGCAAAAGTGCAGAATATCTCGGTTAACAAAAACTTTTTTGGAGGCAATGTCAAATGAAACTTAACAATAGCGTGAAAGCCCACTTATTTTATTGCAAAAATTCGAATAGAAATCGTTAAACTACTTTAAGCAACCCAGAGTGAGTAAAGTTCTGTTGGAAATTTTTTGAATCCTACTGACTCCCCAGTCTTATATCTATATGTAAAGTCCTTGTATCATGTAAAACGTATTCAATAGAATAAGTCATATTTTAAACCCACAGACCTTAGCAGGCGAGTTTGTGTTTAGATAGCCTCTTATTTATTGGTATTCAAGTACCCTACCTTAAGCACTTTCACATGATTGCAACACTTTGGAATGCTCTAGGCTAAAAATGTCCTAAATATAATGAAAAAGAATAAATGTGGAAAGCGACAGTTTGTATGCATATAATACATTTTGTACGTCAACCTTTCTCAAATGCTGAATAATAAAACCAAGAACCGGAAATAATGGTATCTGATCTGTCCCCCATAAATCATTGTTCACCAGATATTAATGATAGTTCAGAGAAATAATTTTTGAATAATACTGAAGGATAATCATTTTTAATTATATTTCCTCAAGTTGAGAATTTCTTGACCTTGATTGGCGACCGTCGAAAGCAAACTTCTAATTATCATAGTTTTGTACAAGCGTGTATGAATGCGAAAAATTAACCAGCCAAAGCATAAAATTTCGCATTAAGTGGCTGAAGCAATGAAGGGCTTAAATTGGCCAATATTTTGGCCTAGTTCATTAAGATTTTTTTAAAGTGTTCCTCGACTGGCTTCTGTTACATAATAGGACAGCCCAGTAAGGAATAATTACATTTTCTGAATGATCCACTGAGAACATGTAGTAAACAAACAGTAACAGCTAAAAGGCAATTCTAATTCGGTTTCACTAGCAGTAGAAAGTTCAATCACGAGATATTGCATGGCTTTCTTAGAACTTATCAACCAGTCCCCACCTTTTCTTTTCTATTGTTCATCATTCTTCCTTCACTCATTGGTGTTGAAGACTAACAGCAGGAATAATAGGAAAATCAACAAAAAAAGTCAAAAGGATTATCACACATAGATGTGTAAATATGCTCATCGACTGACCTCTCCATAATTTTCGATTGGTGTTGAAGACTAACAGCAGGAATAATAGGAAAATCAACAAAAAAAGTCAAAAGGATTATCACACATAGATGTGTAAATATGCTCATCGACTGACCTCTCCATAATTTTCGATCTCATCATTATGCATTCGCTTGCCCTGTTGTCCACTGATACCAAAACCCTCAGTGTCTGCACCATAGCCGAAGCCAAAAGCGTCCGTACCTAACAGAAGGTTCGCTTCTTCGGTAGACCAACCGACCCGACAAAGACCAATTGCCTCCAAAGGAGTAGCCTCGAAATAGAATCTTCCGGGACCAAATACACCCTTTGAAAATAAAAGATTAAATAAAGATATAAATAATAAATAAAGAAAAAGATTGAAATAAAGATATTTCACTAAGAAGAAATAATAAATATTATCAAAACTATTGTGAAGATACTTATGGAACCAGTGTCTAAGTTTTGACGTTTATTTTAAATAAACATTTTTATAAGAATTAATAAAAAAGGAGGTCTAAATAAAAAAGTATTGGTTTGACTGCGTTTTCGCAAATTAGTCGGAACGACAAGGAGACTTTGTTGAATGTACCTAGTCCTGCGTATTTTGCCATTTCATTCATGATGATTTCCCGCATTGGACCGTTGAAGTGGTACATTTCCATAGCGATTAGTCGTATGTCTCAAAGTGTATCAACCTTAACCAACTTTTCGAGCTGATTATTTGATTAGACCTCTTACTGCAATCGCCTTGTCTTGGCTTAACTTGCCAGTCTAGATTCTTTTATAGACAATTTGTTTTCCTATTGTTTGAATAATCTCCTCGATCCGAACTTCAAATTGTTGCTGTCCTTGCTGAATCCCGAATTTATCCTTGTTTGACACAGTGTATCTTCATTAAGGGTAGGCTGGGTTTTCGACCTCGCCTAGGTCTCATTAGCACACCCAGCAGGACTTAAGTATCTGTAAGTTAATCAATAGGCCGCAATTCCACGAGTACTCTTGGGTAATAGGACCAGACCTTTCGCATATTACTTTCCGTGGTGGGTTGTTAGTAAGGCAAAGTTGAATTTGCAAAGAAAAGTTAGATTTCGAAGTATATCTTGTTTCACGATTATTGAGCTTACTTCCGTTTCGAGTGAAAGTCTGTGCTGAAGAGATTCAAAGTCCATCCTACCAGAAAACGATGGCAGATTCCTCTTAATCAGCTGTCGATTGGCTTTATTGAAACATTTTTATTGACACTGCTTCATAAGTAATCTCATCAGTTCCGATCAAAACGTACTAAGCTTTTGTCCGTCGTACGACGAACGTCACCAGGACAGAGTAGCATGCTTACAACCATGTTCAAGACTAGACTAAAAGAAAGTATAGGCAAATTACATAAGCTGATCAGAACCAAAGCAAAGACTGGACAATCCATTTATCTGCTATTTTGTAAGGAAAACTTTTTCAAAGATATAAAGATCAAGATGTGTGGCCCCCGGTATGGTCGCAGTTTCCTTTCGATTTATAGAAGTGGGTTGACTTCGTTGTATCAACTTGGTCTTATTGTCCGGGAGACTTAGTAGAATGTACCTAGTCCAAAGTCCTTTGCCATAATAGTTATTACAAGTCCCAGCATTAGACAGTGGACTTGGAACATTCTCAAACGTTTTGCCGGCATCGTAGTCGGCATCATCAGTGAGTTCTGCAATCCACAGCACCAAGCTACAAACTCGTAAAATAACAAGGGAAGTCGATCCCTCGACCAACATTGTGCTGAAAGGGTTACACTATGACTTTCTGTCCTGGCCCATCTATCCACTCCTCACCCTATTACCAAATCCCGCCCTATCTGAACTTCTGACACGTTTACAGTCCACTCGTCAAAAGATGTGCCCTTTTTTTGGCAAGTTTAGTTTGGCCTTATCCCAACTGTTATTCACTTTGGCTCCCTTTCTTTTGATCGGCTAATTCGGCTCGGACCTCCTACCTGGATCTTCCTCGTTGTCCCGCAGATCCGTTTCTTACCTTTCAGGTCGGGCGATTTCACTTAGTTCTAGTTTCAGTGTGTGTTTTACTCCAGGCGCTATTTTTCAAAGCCTTAGAAGCACGTACACATAAAAAACACCGAGCAGTGCGCTTAGACTCTGATTTCCATCTTCGCAGATATTAGGCATTGCCTCAACAGATCGTTCCCTTCATTGGGCTTGATTACATGAGCAAACTGTGGACACGTATCACTGGTCGCCTGCGGCAACTCAAGTGGATTTCTAGTACATATTCGCCATATAGCCGAATTAATGTGGCGGTTGTGCTTATCCGTCTCTAGTGCCCTGACTACCAATCTTCAATAGTTGTACTGGTTTCTTCGAATATACTTCAATAAGTGAGAACGACTTCGCTTGATTTCTGAAATTTCCCCCCTTCTTTTCTCAACACAATCACTTTTATTCCGGTTAGCGATAGATCCTTGATCCATACGTAAGTATATCAATAGTTTCCTTAATCTTCCGCCTCCTTGTATTTACACCATATCAGAATCTATTTTTAGTGAATCCTTCTTTGTCCTTATTGTTCTATCGTGGTCCCCGTTCTGACATCGGTTTTTCAATGCCCAATTGTATAATTGAGTAGCCGATACCAAGGAATATACTAATTAATTTGTTAAATTCTTCATCACAGAGTTCAATATCCATTAAACGTAGGCTTCTGATGATCATGCTCCTCATTATTCCTCTTTTTAGCATGTAGGTGTGATATAACTGGAAAATGAGTATTATCCCGGCATAAGACTTCCTTGTGAACAAGATTTACTTTATTGTCCCATTAAAGCAAATCACTTTAACATCCAGGAGAGTTAACCGTTCAGTGCAAGTACCACTTCTATGGAACTTTATCAAATTACAGAATATGGCAGATGGTCCGGCGTATAAGTTGCACAGAGGCCGATATGATAAAAAAATTAAGGATTTTAGGCCTTAAAATCAGCTCAAGGAATAGTCGAAATAATAAGGACGTATGTAGAAAAATTTGGTTTCAAAGAATCCCCTAATAGATTGATGTTGGAGTACTTTTCATTTCGCTTGAAGAAGCGAATAGATTCAGCTCAGAAAGGATTCATCGGGGTCGCAGGCCAGTGCGCAGAGGACCTATTCGCACGAATCTGCAACCACAGCCATCGGTGGAACCAACTTATGAATCCTTTCCACTCGCCTCTTCAAACGAAATGAAAGATACTCCAACAATAAGCATGTAGTCAAACTTATTGCTTTTTGTTATAGTAAAATAAAGTCATTAATTTATCCGGTTTACCTATAGATGATAATTTTAAGCTACGATTGGAAGGGGGCCTAAACTTTGCCTTTCCAAACGAGCAAAATCATTCAATGGAGATAATGGTTGAAATAACTCACTTAATAGACAAGTTGCGAGAAGAGGTTGAGAATAGTATTTGCGCCGAAATGATGTTTGTTTTCAAGGAACATAAGGAGTGGTCATCATGAAAGGTTAAGTTATATAGAAAAAAATGCTGGTTCATTTAAATGACTCAGAAACATACAGACTTTTAGTGAACGATCCACAGATAGTCTTAAGGCCAGTCGCTTAACTTTTGTCTAAGCAAAGGAAAAATTGAGAAGTGGAAATGAATTAACTTCTTCAAAGGGCACCTTGTGCGTTCAAAGATACACAAGCAGGGAGTTCCCTTATGGTTAATTGTTAATAATAAGGGAGATCTAATTCATAGGATTTCACAATTCTTATGCAGAAAATTAAGTATTGGAAATATTCAGTGAAGAATTCATATGAAATTATTAGATTGATGAATCAACAGAGTATTGGAGATAAGGAGCATGTTGGCGAGTTTCGATGTAGTATCAATGTACACTAACATCCCAGTTCACAGGGCTAT